TGTCCATTCTGGGCTACTGTAGAAACATGGTGGTGCAAAATAGTGATGTCCACAGACAAGGACCCACTCCCTATGTAGATATGAACAGCTCATTCTATGGTAACAAAAACACAACAATTCTACACTCTGATTATATACCAAAGAAAATATACCTATTAAATTATATTGCATTTCTGCCAATATATCCCCCTAAATCATACACACTGGACCCACTTGTGATCTAGAGCAGCTGACTCAAGAGAATCTTGGGAAATTAAGGCAAAATTCAGTGTGCCATTATCTTGTAATGTCCACTTGCAGCTACAGAAACAAAGGTTAAATAGTCATCTGTTAATGGAAATAGCATTTTTCACTGTTTCTGTGCTAGTCTTAATATAGCATTGTTTTCTGCTAGCATGCTTTATTAGCACATGCGACCGAAATCTGGGTAGGATTAAGACTTCAGAGAATCATATGACCCTGAAAACCATTCTCTTCCTGCTCTTTTTACTGAGGAACCCTTAATCCTCTCTAATACTCTTCCAGAGTCCTAAATGGATATTATTAAATATGTATGATTTGGCTTTCTAATAATATTACCTACCTGGCCTTTCATTGTCCTAAAAAAGTGACTATAATTACCATGCAGCTTTGCTCAGACTTAATGTGGCATTTGATAGTGAGTTATTGATTGTTTTATCTTCTGTGTTAACCAATCTTTTAGAAGTAGTTTTGCGGTGATATTTGTAAAATGTTGTGTTACGTGGTGAAACCATGTGTACTTTATTTTTAGGTGGCTCAGAGGAGATGGTGGACACAAACTGGAAGACATCACTGTACTTTGTATGCTACTGCAGAGAGGCCAGCACAGATGTACCCACTGATTGACCTTCACATGTGAATCTCCCTTGGGCTGGCTCCTCCTTACCAGTGTACATATATATATGTGGAAATCAAGACCAATATGCCCTGCATCCTTACATTGTTATACAGGTATTGCTACCCCGAGTGGATTTAGCAACTTTTTTTTAATCTGCTGCCCTTCTTTCTCTTAGCCTGTTTAGTTATTGCTGTAACAGTGTTTTAATGCTGCTCTCTTGACCGTGTGTCTCATGAAATATATAATATATTCATCTCAGACCCTTACCTTTTTGAGTGACTAAAAAAGGAAATTAAAACATTTCTGGTGGAGGAGTTCAATAGGCCAGAGACAGACCTTTTTCACAGCAGCCATTTTGTCTTGTCATCGTATGAAAAGCACAGTTGTTACTAACAACATTAACAATGGCTCTGTTCTTCAAGTGTCCCAGTAAGCCATGACAATGTAACAGCGAGCCAGCCTGCACAACACCAGGAGCCTTAAATCAAAGCAACTCAATGGAACTCAGCCATTGGTAATTTAATTTTATTACATTTATTTTGTTGTACTGGAGCAAGTCAAAATGCCCTCTGTGAAAACAGTCTATGACTCCTGGTGATTCAGTTGGAGCAAATATTACAGAAACGGTGCACTAACTCCATCAAGAACTTGTTGTTTTTTCACAAAACTGTTGGTTTCAGCTTTTCGCCAAGTATATGACCTGTTATTAAGTTGTCACTTAACAACAAGCTCTGTTAGCTTGGAGGATCCACCATGTTAATGGTTTCTTTCCACTGTGGAACAATGCTAATAACACAGTTCATAATAAGTAAAAATAAAGGAGTGGCTGTGACTCAGGAGGTAGATTAGGTCATCCATTAATCACGAGGTTGGCTTGATCATCAGCAAAACAAGACACTGAGCTTCAAGTTGCTCCAGATGGGCAGGCTTGCACCTTGCATGGCAGCTCTGCCACCATCAGTGTGTGCGCATGGGTGCATTATGAGACAATGGAGACCTGGGCACAGTTATGCAGAAGGCCTCACCACCTCCTCTACAAAGGAGCAAGACATGCAGATTTGTGGTAGTTTTGCATCTTTTTGTTGTTGTTTTGCATCTCTTTTTAGTTATGCATTTTTGAGGTTTTCTTTCTCTTTTTGGTAGTTTTATGTCTTCGTGTGGTTGTTTAGCCCCTTTTGTAGTTCTCTTTGCAGCTTTGCATGTCTTTGTCGTCATTTTGAGTCTCTTCCTGGTTGGTAGGTGTTCATTTGACTGACATTTTGCATATTTTTTTAATGTTATGATTCAGGTTATCTATATGCACATATCAATACATACACATTTGAATTATCCATTTCTTTTAGAGAATTTAAGTGGTTTGTTGTACCTTGTTGAATCCTATCTTTGATTTAAAGAGACATGTTCACTAAACCAATTTAAGGAAGTGTTCACCTAACCCATAGGAAATACAGCAATACATTTGGACGTGACCTTTGTTAGAATCAAACCAAAGTTGTTCCTGGGTCTCACTCACTACTAAGACATATTGTAAAAATGCTGAGTGTGTGGACCCTTGGTCGCGTGGACACTGATTTTTACATTTAGCCTACTGTAATCAGCAAAGACTTCATTTGCTTAGTTCTGTATGTGGTACAGATGTTCTGACAAGGGCTTGCTTCCCACATTTTTAGTTTCATAAATGCTTCTTTTACCTTTTCTTTAAATTACAACGTAGTATTTTTAATAATTATTTTCTATATATGTTTATTCTGTTTTTTTTTTCCTCTATCTCTGTCTCTCTCTGATCAACTGTATGTCCTTTCATTGTAATTCCTGGATTACTGTAATGTCAAGCTCTTGTTATCTTTTCTATACTGTATTCAATATTTTATTTTCTTTTTTAGTTCTCAATATTAGGTTTTACAGATAAAACTGATAAAAGAAGACAGCGAGGGAGATGTCAGTCAAGCACAGTTTGAGGTCTAATCAGGCAGATAAGTGAAAAGAACTGTGGGTTGACTCTTAATTCACTAATATTTTAATTCCTACAATGTTGCCTAATAAAACAAGAATAGCCTTTCATCATATGTCTCTTTGCCTGAGTATCACACTCGATGAAATGTTACAAATTAGGCTGTGTTCAGTAGATAACCAGATTTGAACCCAGCTGGACGACTCAGAGACAAGCATGTGATGTAAAGGTTGATGTGGTCAATAACAATACAAAGTCAAAACCAGGCAGGCAGATCTAAACAGGCAAATTTCTCTGAAAAGGGGTCAGGCAGAGAGGCACGAGTCCAAGGGACAGGTAGGAAGAACAAAAGGCTGGAAAGCAATCTGTCAGAGAATGAGTGAAAATGGGCTGGTGTATATACTGCAGGGCTGGTGGGGGAAAGTGGGACAGGTGAGACGAAGGTCAGGGGAAAGGGGTTACTGCAGGGCAGGAGGGAGTGGCTGGGTCTGAAATGAGAGGAGAGTTTGTATGTGGCAGGGGAAAACAGAGCAGACGAGAATGAATTACGAGGAGTTGGCTGGAGTGTCATCCTCATAATGTTACTGGCCCTGACATGACTTTTGGGAACGCTGGCTGCCAAAATAAATAGGTTATGATAATCATCTTGTTTTAACCATAAACTTATTCACCTGCTTTTGACTAGCTGGCATCAATCTAAGTCATTTTACAGTAAGATATGAAACACTGGTCTAATTTACTGTGGTATTTTGTTGAGGGAAAATAAGACATTCATCCACTGAACTGATTTTTATTGATACTGGTGTTTTTTGATGACCACTGACTGGAGGACATATCTAAAACATCTTTAGGTGCGCCACTGTATCACTTAATATAATGCTGGGACATAGGCTAGTGTACAAGTAATGTTATTGTGTATATTCAGTATGAGTCTGTGCAGCTATAGCAGCAGTCGGCCTGTATGGCTGTTGGCCAGAAGATGTCACTATACAATAAGAAATACATTGCAGTCATCTATAACATTTACTACCTCATAAATATTATTTCTGTATCTTACATCATAAAGATTAATGGATACCACACAGGGTATAATATAATACCATATTAATTTTTGTTGCAGTGTTAATTTTTTTTTTTACACAACTACTGCTATAGTTTGTTGTGAGCCCAAACAACTTTCTGGGGGAGATCATAGTATTTACACATGCCCACACACACACACACATTTTCTTACTGATATATATTTTTAATCGCAGCCCAGGAGGTAATAATTTTTATTATTATAATTATTATTTTTGGGATATTTTCCCTTTATTGATTGTACAGCTTAAGACAGAAGGAAGAGGTCTGAGAGAGAGGGGGTTCATATACAGCAAAGGGCCACAGGTCGGACTCGAGCCCCAGCTGCTGCAACGCATTTGGTGCACACACTCTACTAGGTGAGCTTGAGGACACCCAAAGGGTAATACTTTAACTGTTTGGGGAATGTTTTCTACAGGGGACATCAAAAGGGGTCTTCAGATTCTCCAGTAAAACAGGAATTGCTCAGTTTTCATATTGCTAACGCTTAAAGGTCCAGTGTGCAGAATTACTGGCATCTAGCTGTGAGGTTGCGGAACTGAAGCTTGTGTTCTCTCGTGTACCAAGTGTGTAGGAGAACTACGGTGAATGAGACGCAAAAAATGCCAATGGCCGTATTCAGAGCCAGTGTCTGGTTTGTCTGTTCTGGCCTACTGTAGGACAGTAGTCCATGGGAGAAGACCTGCTCCATATGTAGAAACAGCTCATTCTAAGATAATGAAAATACCACGATTCCTATTTTCAGGTGATTATAGACTAATGAAAACATAGATCTGAATATTATATTCCATTTCTGCCAAGAGATGCCCCTAAATCCTACACACGGGACCTTCAGCACAGGGACAACATATCACTGATGGAGGTATTATTATTTCCCACTCAGATGAGGTTTGCTGGATAAATTATTATTAATATAAAACATTTAAATGAGGGTTTCCTGGTGCTGATCTGGTAATCTGAAGCTAGGTGGAGACCCTGTGCCAGGACAATAGAGGGCTCTTATTGTGAAGTCAAGGTTGAGCGAGAGACGGTCTTTTATTTTGAAGTCTCATGTCTCCAGCTCTCCAGGCACACACACACACACACACACACATAGAAAGAGGTAGTCATTAGGCTGAGGTAGCCCCATAGACACAGTGTATAATAGTGGTGTAGCTACATTGGCAGCAGCAACTATGAGAGGAGATAAGTTTACAGGTTGAGCTAGGCTGGTTGGCAGCCTTTGTCGCATTCTTGGAGGAACAACACGAACCGTGGGACGTCGAAGAGTCGTGGGACAGTCCGTGTAACTGGAACAATAAGTGGTGGATACATACGGTTTTTGGACGGAGAGCAGCGGCGGCGGCAGCAGGAGCAGGGCGAGTGTGTGAGTGCTTTGGCGGCGGTCCCGCTGCTAGCGAAACATGAACAAAAACCACCGAGTGCCGAGCAACCGTTCTCTGAGTGCTGTGGAGGTGAAGAGCAAGGTACAAATGGAGACTCCTCTGTCTGTTTGTTTACCCGCTATTTGTACTCTTAGCTCTCTTCGTGATTACTGAGGCTAATTTACGCTAGCCTGCTAACGTTAAGTGGCTTGATAGCAAGTTATGATGTCGCTCAAATTACACAGATAGAAGCTAAAGCTAAACTCGCCAACACAGGTTTTATCACTCTGACTAGCTCGCTATACATAAAAATGTGACGTTAACCGTGTCGCAGTTTGATTGTAAGTTAATTTGAGTAAGTTTGAAGGTGGAGGTTATCGTCACCTGACGCCGCAGTGAGCCAGTGTCACCTGTCACAGCCTCCTCCGCCGCTCCTTCCTGCTCATGTACCAAATATTGACTCAAAGTTTGAGGCAAGTTTTCGTTTCAGAATAACCCCATGGGAAGTTTACACAAGTTGCAAGACGTTTATGTGAAATTAGCCCGGTATGAAATGCTAATATCTGGTTGTTATGTTATTCACCTGTGCGTATAGGTGTCATACGGCCTGCGACAGGCTCATTGCTCCTTTCGCGACAGTCAGTGTCCTCAGTCCTCCAGCCTGTGGCATGATGGCACACACATGCAGAGGAATGGGACCTCAGGGCGCTTTTTACTGCTCAAAACTAGTTTTTAGGAACTGCGTATGTTGACACAGACTGTGAACTATTTGTGTGTGTCACTACCTGTATAGTTAACAATAACAAAGTACGTTTCCCCACGTAGCTACACAAAGTAATAAAATACTTTTTTCAGCTCCTTCCCAAAGCGAGGAGTCCAGGGTCAATTAAAATGTTTTGTCTACTGTTATACTAATGTGGCTACTTACCAGAAACAGGCCTGGGACCTGTTTAATCTCCCAGCCTATAGTTAATATAATTCTGCTGATGCATAAGATGACAAGTGTCCAGATTGGCAGTGACTTGTAGATCATCTTTTGTCAGCGCTGGGCAACAGTAACCACAACACTTGGTACCTCTCATCAACACCACCGATGGGACATTGGACTGTATCTCAGCCAAACAGTTGCCTTAAGATCAGGCATCTGCAGCCATCTTCTGTCAGATGGCTTGACTAGACGGGCAGTCTTGAATATACTGCATACATAAACACAGATACACAGAGATATGCACACATCAGAGTCCACATTAATAATTCATCACATGTGGTGTGTTAGCATATCCACATGGATAACAGACTCTTGCATACAGCCTACGGTGGTTTTGAAATAAGCTAGGCTACCAGAACAGTGTGTGCTTATCAGACACAGCCCCAAATCTCAGACCCTTAAAGGAAATGGTTGCTAACATTTTAGATTTCAGCTATCTTCCTGTTTATCTGCCCCTTAATTAATCAGTTCCTCAATCTCTCGCATGTGTGTTTGTACAATTGTGTTCATGTTCCTGTCTGCTCCATCCCAGTTTGGTGCAGAGTTTCGTCGATTCTCACTGGATCGGTCGAAGCCGGGCCGCTTTGATGAGTTCTATGGCCTCCTGCAGCACGTACATCGCATCCCCAATGTGGAGTTGTTGGTGGGCTATGCTGACATTCACGGCGACCTACTGCCCATCAACAATGATGATAACTACCACAAAGCCATCTCCACTGCCAGCCCTCTACTCAGACTGTTCCTGCAGAGGAAAGGTAAGCACAGAAGAAGTGTTTGATCAAAGAGTCTCAGTTTCCACCTGTTTGTTGGGTCATATCTTCGGAGTCCATCTTTCCTATGGAAATACAAACACAATGTGAGAGCTCTAAATATTAGAAATATGGGATATACTGTTGAACAGAAACAGACAGTTATAACAGACAACAGTATCACCTTACCTTGTCAGTTTCTCCGGCTGTATGGTGCTTAAGTATTTGTCCTGATTGAACTGTCAGTTCAAGCAAACAACTCAACTCCCTTGTTCTCGAGCTATGTCCTTTAGTGTCCCTTTCTGACCCACATAGCTAAAGGTCAGTGACCTTGCTGAGAAGCAGTGTGTTCCCAAAGGCAATCTGTCTGCAAGGGCTGAACAAAGCTAAAAAAAAGGTCAACATAAAGAGCAATGAAGGGTAGATTATTTGCTGTTTTTTCCACTTCTCTCAAACCATCATCTGTCAAACTGCCCAGGGGTTACTTGTTCGATTAGGATATCCTGTTTCTTTGGCACGGCAGTCACACGTTCACAGTGTGTTTTTACTGTGTGTGACGGCTGACAAGTTCAACACAAACACTTTTTGTCTACAATACTGCTGCTGATTATTACTTCCTCGCTGGCTCTGGTGTAACCACTACCAATAACTATTATAATTCTTGTCCTGTTAATACAGTAGGCTATAGCGTATCACAGGCAATTCCTTTGTGTTTTCAGATGCTGGGGGAAGTAGTTAGTTGTAGCTCAGAGAAGTTTCTGTAATGTTTGCTCATGAATGTAGTTTGCACATGTCTATGAATTAGCATAAAGCAGTTTTTGTCAGACGACATGTATAAAATCTTGATTGGATTAATTTTTAAAGTGCATCCTTGCTAATGAGTAGCTGAGTGTGACCTGTTGCATGCAGGGAGGAACCCCGGGGTCTGTGGGCCGGGGTAGGTCGGGCCGCGCGCTCTGTTGTGTTTAAGCTGTCTCGCTGTGCCATATGACCCTATAGAAGCTAAGCCACTTTGTCAGGAGGAGATTAGTGGGGTCACTGTGTAGCGCTGCATGGGACTGTGTTTCAATTACATGCTCCAGACACTAGCCCCACGCTGAGCTCACTGCTGCTCACACACACAAAAACACAGGAAAACACAGTCATGCAGGCAAGCAGGCATCACGCATCAGTCATGCACTCAAACGCGCACACTGCCTTGAAAAAAAGACAAGGCTAAGACACACTAATGCAGCCACAACCCCCTGTAGACCCCGGGTTTCCCTCCTAATTTTGTCTACCCCCCTTCACCTTACTGCTAAGCACCAGTTGGTTCCAGCTTAAAAGGCTCTGCAGTGTGCGGATGCAGCAAATTTCCAGATATAGATCATTTATTATATATCTGCAGACAGTAGTTATTATCTCTAGTGATGGCTCTACAGTGAGTATAGACTTCTCAGTGTTGAGGAGGAGAGGTATGTCAGGCCAAGGGCCAACTCAGAACCTTTTAAACACTGAATGCTGTGCCCTGTTTGTTTATGTGGAAGTATCTCACATCTTTGAAAGCTGCTCTCTTGGCAACATGATGCCAAACTGACAGAGAATGACAAAGGATTTTTGGAGTTTTTGAGAAATTGTTTTAATGATAATGAGTCCTTCATGGTCCTGTATGTTGTTATGGTGGTATCAGCACAAATGACCCCACACCTGAAGGAGGTGATCCTTTTCTAAGATCCTCCTTTAATGAGGCGAGTCAAGTCCAAACTCTTTAATGTTATCAGCAGCACAGGTGGAAGGTCATAGTGCAAGTACATGGGGTCATAGTGGGAGGGTCACACTTAGGCTGCATCCACACTTATATGTTTTCGTTTTAAACACATGACTTTTGTCACCTTTACACTTAGTGTCCACTAGGCTTCAGCGGTATCTGTTTTTTCATACCTTCCTGAAATTTCACCTGAGTATCCAGTATATAATGGTATTTGTGTGTGGCGCTACCCTCCCATTAATAAATAAACAATATAAACTCACAAAATGTTGAGAACGGTTATACCCTTACACCAGTTTCAGAGAGATATAACCATGCACCTTCTGAATACAAGTTTCTCTCTTAAACTGAACTGAACTGAAGACCAATGTTAACATAAGTGACTTGTTAACTTATCATAAACCAGACAATATTTAAACTCGCCAGAAACAAAATTAAACTCACCAAAGCCCTCTGTTTTCTTGTTTGTCCTTTAGTTAGTTAGTCCAATGATTCAACAATCACCAACCATCAGAGTTAGATGTGATGATATGCTGTTTTTCCCCACGGTCTCTCTCTGTTGTTGCTCGGTGACTGAATGTCCCACCTGTGGAGAATGACCTCTGTCGACGAGTGACATTCACCATGCAAGCCTAGTGTCCACACAACTCTGACTTTTCAAAAACTCTCAAAAGGAGACCTTTGAAAATGCTGCTGAACCAGTTGTAGTGGGAAAATTTGGGGTTTGCTTTTTTCAGTTGGATGGGTAGAAAGCGAGACTTTTGAAAATAATAATGCAGACACCCATGTTCGCTTTCTGATTGGGTCTCATCAGTCACAATGTGTCAAGAAAAAACATTAGAGCTAGGCTTAACATCATATACCTTTCGGGATTTTATCTATGATGGATAATGCCCCCGGTACCACTCTAATAGCTCGCCCAATTTGCTTTGCAACGACTGCCAATCTATTTTCTGCCGCCTTGACTGCCTTTGACTTATGTGTGACTTTCAGTAACAGCTCCACACTATTGTGGGTCCAAGCAAAGAAATCTCTCGTCTTACTTTTTGTCATTGCTGTTCTTCCTATTTTTTTGTAACTAAGCACCCAACCACAGAGTAGACAATCTGCTTCCTGTTTACACCGGCACACACATGCCCACTGTAAGTGAATGGTCATGTGGTATGCATTTGCAGTGTTAGTATGGATGGAGATTATTTCTGAAACATGCTAAAATGCTCAAGTGTGAGGAGATTGTTTTATTTAAAGTGCTGTTTTAAACTGAAAAAGTTTTAGTCATACAGTCACAAAGTGGCTTATAATGCCATTCGACTGCTACTTTGTCCTTTGAAACTGTGACTGAGCGATTATGTAAATGTCTTAGATGGTCAGTGGTCAGACGTGATGTGATTGGTCATTATTGCATAAGAGCAGGACTTCAGACAAGGCAGCAGTATGTGAGCTAAAGTTTGTCACAACTTGGCCTTCATGGAATACAGCAGTGAAAGCTTATAACAGATATCTGAGAAATATGTTCACAGCTAATAAAAACAACACTTAATCTCCTGTCTCATTGATTGTAAACAGGTTTCCGACAGACAATTTCCGTTGACATAATTTGTGTGTGTCTTCTAATAAAAAGTGTCTTGTCGCGGCACAGTTCAGACCATGTGTGTCATTTGAGTTTATTTTTGGCGGAGTGTTTTATTTGTCTGGAAGACTAAATCCTACGTGTATCCAAGGCTAGGTGCTCTGAGTGTTGTTCATTCATTGATGGGCAGATGGTTCAATGGATGGATAGAGGGGCGGATGTTAGGCTGTGAGTGTCTGTTGTTGTATTGTTGTGGTCTGGTTCTTGAATAATGCTCACATTGTTGTTGTTTATGCATCAACGCTACATCACTGACCAGCCATTAACGTCGTATTGTTTCACTGCTGAAAAATGGGCTAAGTGTTTGTGCCTGTGTGTGGACGACTGGACTCTTGTCTATGCCGGTCATTTTTAAAACTGCTTCAACACACACCAATATTAACTCAACAGCACCAGGGATCCCCTACACCCCGCCCCCTATCCCTGAACAATGTGTTGATGATTACTGAGCTGGCAGTGAGGTGTCCACTGTTTACCGGTTGTCATGGCAGCGATGAAGAGGCCCGTTCATAGGTGGATTAACAGAGCTTGAGTCTCTATAAGCTCTGTGTAAATGGGCAGTGTTGTGGTCATTTAGTCATGTTGAAGACAAAACAGTCCACTCAGTAATACGTATAACATAGTAATATTTTTTGTGCTTGTTGTCATATCAGTGGCTGTTGTTTTAGGTGCTGACAAACAGCAGCTTTTGCCAGCTTTGGAGACGAGGCTGTTTCACATCTGTTTATTTGCAAGCCCTCAGTCAGTCTGTCAGTTGATGTTTGTCAGAAATCCTTGTCGAGAGCTGCAACGATAAGGTAAATGAAGCTGTGGCTGATAGTTTTATAAATTGCTTTTTGTAATATTTGTAATGTCACACAGAACTACATGATAGATGATCTGTGAAAAAATCATGTTCCTTTGCCCTCTTGAACTACTTCTTATGACCTTACTACACATGAATGAAAACAACCAACCAGAGCCGAGGAGTCTCTAATGCAGCTGTCAATCATGTCAATCACTGCTCGTCAACTGTGGTCAAACTAGACAGCACTGATCAAATATGAATCAAGATTCTGTCACTGCATTGTCTATTTCTCGCCTCAGATGTTTTCACAAACATATTTTTTTTTTTTAACAATATTTTTATTGAGAGCAAGGTATATGTAGACAGTTATACAAAAAGATAATATTTTTTTGATTTTTCACAGAACACATAAAAAAATAACCCCCCTTCCACCCACCCACCCTACAACATCCAGTGCATCCCAATCTAAGGAAATAAAGTTAGTAACTAAATGAATAAATAAAAGTTATGATATTGATAGGTTAAGATATCATTCAACAGTTACAAATAGTTAAACAAAGAGAAAAATAAAGATAAAGTGGAGTTAGCTAGTTCGATAATAAAGCTTGAGAATAAATGAGGAGGCTGTGTTTGCTGTGCGACATCATTCAACATCCCTCAGGATCTAGTAATCAAGAATTTATGAGTTGTCAGGGAGGGTTGGAAGTTTGTTAATAAAAGACATTACTGGGTTCCAGGTGGAATAGAAGTGGTCTCTCGACCCTCTAAGTGTGTATTTGATCTTTTCTAGGCTTAAATGAAGCATAAGGTCATTCATCCATAAGCAGGTGCTAGGTGGTTTT